TACCAGAGAAATTGCTCGACCTCCGCTCCTAGCTCCCTGGCCCCACTGGGAAAGAAGGCTCCAGAGCCTCTGACCTCACCTGTGCACACAAAGCTGCACTCTGAGGATGAGGACCCAGGTTCCCACATCCCAGAGGGGCCTGAGGACAGATACCCAAATCAGCAGGGGGCCCAGGAGAAACATGGAGTCCAGAGCAGTTCAAGGAAAAAGGCAGTTTTATTCTTTCAGGAAAATGTACCAATGAGGGTTGAGGGGAGGAGTACCCTGGCCATAACCCTGTCCTCAGCAGGAGTCTGAGCAGAGGCCAGGCCTGACCAGGGCCTGGGAAAAGCTAATGGGCGCCCTGTGGCACTGAGGAGAGGCTGGGCAGGCCCAGGAGGTGGGCTTTTGTTCTGTTAGCACCAGGAGCTGCCCCCAGCTGGAGCAGTCTGAGGAAGGGCTGGCGGCAGAAGGGCCCCTGCCCAAGTCACCTGAGTGTGTTCTTAAATTCACAGCCCCCTCCCCCCTGTAAACATGAGAATGGGCTTGTCCAAGCCGCTCAGGACAAGATGAGTGTCCGCGACGTGTGGCTGGGCTTCAGGCGGCCCAGGAGCTGCCGTGCTTTTTCCTGCATGAAGAGCTGGTCCCTGGTGCCCCCACAGGCCACCATCTTCCAGGCACTGCTCATCTAGGAGGAGGCAAGAAAGTGACCACCCAGGCAGGGAAAATATGCTCCCAGGAAACTCTGGGACCCCCCTCCCTCTAGAAGCCAGTCATTTGCTTCTGCTCTTTCCACCCTCTGGAGTGGCCCTGGTGATGTCACTCCCCTTCTCTGGCCCTACTTCCTCACTGTGAAGCAAGGAGGCTGGACCAGGAGACATGGCCTTTCCTGCCCTGCAGCACCAGCTTGCATTTGAGAAAGCCCTGATCATGCTGGCTGGCAGGGCAGGAGCAGTGGGGGCTTCAAGTATGCAGATGCAAGGCCACAGCAACCTAGGGCCAGCCCCTCCCTCCAACACAGACACACATGAAGCAAACGAAATAGATGCAAACTAAATGACTCAGTTACAAGGGAAACCATGTTATTGGAAGGGGGCCTCTCCAAGACAGTGAGTTGGGAAATAACCTAAAGCACAAATCAATCAGGCCAACACAGCCATAGCAAGGCAGCAAGAAAAGCATTCAGGCAGAGGGAGCAGCGTGGGCAAAGGTCCTGAGGTGAGGAGGACGGCAGAGCAAGTCCCAAGGAGATGCCACATTCATGGCCAGCACTCACAGGGGCAGGTGTCGGGAAATGGCTTCGGGGCTTCAGAGTAGCCCCAGCCTTCTCAGGCTTGGCCTGCAGGAAGCCTTGGTTGAGCAGGCTGTTGTCCTCTTTAATACCTGACAGGGTGAGGCTGGACGAGCTGGATGGGAGGCTGCTCGGCTGAAATCAAAACCAAGTCAAAGACTCACCATTTTACCAGAAGGCAGAGACCACTCGGAGGGGAAAACCATTAGATCAAATCCCAGTACCACCACCTACTGGTTGGTCGGTGAGACCTGGGTAGGATAGTTAATTTCTCTAAGCCTTGGTTTCCTTGTTCAAACAGGGAGTTGGTTTAAAAATTAAAAAAGTATTTATAAAGTGCCTATTACAGAGCTTGGCCCACAGTGAATGCTCAATAAATGCTGGCTCCTCAGGCAAGGAGGGGGCTCTAGTTTCTTCTGGCAGCAGAAATGCCCCTGAGCAGTGAGAACAATGCCTGCACCAATCAGCACAGCCCAGCGGAGCTGCACAAACCCCTTCCCATGACGCTCCAGCCTCCCTGCTCTGCTTGGCACCTTGTCTTCCTAACCGTCTCGCGCTCAGTGTTTTTATTCTAGCCAAGAAACTGAGGCACAGGGAATCAAACAGATCTCAGAGAGCAAGGGGAGCAAACCCAGGTCCACCCAACTCCAAATCCTGGCTCTGAACCACTTCCCAGGTCATCTTCTTTTTGGTATATATTTTCTATGTCCTAAGCAATGCCACAACTCATCTGGTCTTTGGTCACTGGTGCTCAATGCATTAAAGCTATTCTTGAGACGGTCTCTAAATTCAAGTAGGATAAACTCAAGATCATACTTTGGCTCTCGTGAACTCGTTTTAATTTTTTTCCAGCTTCAACTTCAACTTGCATATGAGCAACTGATGGTTTGTTCCACAGTCGGCCCCAGGTCTCATTCTGACTGATGATACTGAACTTCTCCATTGTGTCTTTCCAGATTTGATTCTTGTGTATTTCATCCGGTGAGGGCCAAAATGGAGTTGTGGGATGACATCAAGGAAATCATATATGAAGAAAGCAAAAGGTCATTAAAAAGACAGGGAAGAAACAAAATTAGTGTTAGAAGACTCTGAAACTTGCTCTTGAATGTAGAGTAGCTAATATGAATGGAGAAATGATGACAGAGAACAGCTGAATGGAGATTTCAAAGGGCAGGTGAAGAAGGCAAAGTAAAGAATTATAATGAAATGTGCAGAGATCTGGAGTTAGAAAACCAAAAGGGATGAACATGTTTGGCACTTCTCAAGCTGAAAGAACTAAAGAAAAAAGTCAAGATCTGAGTTACAGTACTGAAGGATTCTGTGAGTAAAATATTGAACAATGCAGGAAACATTAAAAGATGATGGAAGGAATACACAGAGTCACTGTACCAAAAAGAACTGGTTGACATTCAGCCATTTCAGGAGATAGCATAAGATCAAGAACCAATGGTATTAAAGGAAGAAGTCCAAGATGCACTGAAGATAATCACAAAAAACAAGGCTCCAGAAATTGCCAGAATAACAACTGAGATGTTTCCACAAACGGATGCAATGCTGAAAGCACTTGGTCATCTATGCCAAGATATCTAGAAGATAGCTACCTGGCCAAATGACTGGAAGAAATCTATATTTATGCCTGTTCCAACAGACCATGGAAATTATTGAACAATATCATTAATATCATATGCAAGTAAAATTTTGCTGAAGATAGTTCATAGGCAGTTGCAGCAGTACATTGACAGGAAACTGCTAGAAATTGAAGTCAGATTCAGAAGAGAATGTGGAACGAGGGATATCATTGCTGATGTCAGATGGATCTTGGCTAACAGCAGAGAATACACAGGCATTCAACTGTGTGGACCATAAAGAAAAAAAAAAAAGCTATAGGTGACATTGTGACAAACGGGAATTCTAGAACACTTAATTATGTTCATACAGAACACGCACATAGACCAAGAGGCAGTCGTTTGAACAGAACAAACGGTTACTGAAAAAAAGTAAAAAGTAAAAAAAAGACAAAAACGAAAAACAAGGATACTGCATGGTTTAAAATCAGAAAAGTAATGTGTCAGGGTATCTTTTCACCATAGTTATACAACCTGAACACTGAGCAAATAATCCGAGAAGCTGGACTATATGAAGAATGTGGCATCAGGAGTGGAGGAAGACTCATTAACAACCCACAATATGCAGATGATACAACCTTGCTTGCTGAAAGTGAAAAGGACTTGAAGCACTTAATGAAAAACATCAAATACTACAGCTTTCAGTATGGATTACACCTCAACATAAAACAAAAATCCTCACAACTGAACCAATAAGCAACATCATGATAAATGGAGAAAAGATTGACGTTATCAAGGATTTTATTTTACTTGGATCCACAATGCCCATAGAAGCAGCAGTGACCAAATCAAATGATATACTGCATTGGGGAAATCTGCTGCAAAAGACCTGTTTAAAAAAGTGTTAAAAAGCAAAGATGTCATGTTGAGGACTAAAGTGTGCCTAACCTAAGCCATGGTATTTTCAATTACCTCAAATGCATGGGAAAGATGAACAACGTCTGAGGAAGTCTGAAGAAGTGACATATTTGAATTATGGTGCTGGCAGAAAATACTGAACATACCATGGCCTGCCAGAAGAACAAACAAATCTGTCTTGAAAGATGTATAGCCAGAATGCTCCTTAGATATGAGGATGGTGAGACTTTGTCTCATGTACTTCTGACATGTTATCAGGAGGGACCGATCCCTGGAGAAGGGCATCAGCTTGGTAAAGTAGAGGAGGAAGACCCTCAACGAGATGGACTGACCAAGTGGCTGTGACACCGGACTCAAGCATGCTAACTATTGTGAGGATGGCACAGTACTGGGCAGTGTTTCACTCTATTATACATAGGTTGCTATGAGCTGGAACCGACTCAATGGCCTCTAACAACAAGCAATGCCAGCAGCAGACCTGGATGAAGGACAGAAGTGCCCAGGCTGGCAGGGGCCCCCTGGCCAGAGTGAAGTTTCTTGGCAAAGGGCTGTGAGTACCGGCAGTCACACTTGCAAGACCTGGTCAGGCCATCTTTAAAGCATTTGCCTTGTGACTCTGCCACACTTCTTGGGTACCAGGCAAGCCAAGGTCACTCCTTTGCCAGGTACACAGGGTCACCACCCTGGCATGGTTTCCTGGGGACCCTCCTTTGCAGGGGCAACACTCCCTTCCTTTGAGGTCAGCCTGACAGTAGCACCCAGCACAGCAAGGGTACTGGCCCAGGAGTTCAAAGCAATGTACAGCACCCATCCTGGGGCTGATGGTGCCATTCACCTGGCTGTGCTTAAAGGCACGTCAGTAACCCTTTCTGGGGTTACCTCATAAGTAGAATGCAAGGGAAGATGAAGCCCCACATGCATGATTGTTAAGTGTGTTTTAGCAATGCCATTCTTGCCAAAGAAAACCCTCTGTGGGAAACACTAGCAAAGCTCAGGCTGTGTTTGGAACCAGGGGAGGGTACCCACACCCGCCCTTCCCCAGTAACCCCTCCCTGCTGAGCCCAGGGTTCCAGCAGCCCAGTCCATCACCTCCTGAACACTCCATCTCTAGGGTCCTTCCATAAAATTAGTATTTGCAAGGCAGAAAGAAAGCTTCCAAGGAGACTGCACACTCCCAGCAGCAGAAGAGCTCTCTGTAATTCTGGGTGGGATGGGGACAGCTGATGGATGGCTTCTCTTAGACCCTCTTACCAAAGACATGGCCTTGGGCAGTGCAGACATCATCAGCTTCATGTCCTCATCCACTATGTCAAGAGCCAGAGACTTCCGGACTTTCTTGATAGGGCTCCGCCGTAGCTGGGGTGGAGAGATAGGAGGTGATTAGGTCTGGTGCCAAGGTCCATGTGGTCACCATTTAGCATCTGCCCCAGCCACCCTGGTCATAGAACCAGGCCCTGCTCAACTGTCACCTTCACACCAGGCCCAGCTGGCAGGGATCTGTTGCCTGGTGTGTGGGGAAACCAGGCGACTTTGGCCCCATTACAAACTCTGTGCCTGGGTAGACTGTCCTGCTGGATGCTGCAGCAGCACGAGGCCACAAATGTGAACCTCTAGCCACATGAGACCCACTGCTCACCCCTGAATGAGTCAAACACAGCCTCCTAGCCCCTACTAGTTGCCATGCAGTCAATTCTGACTCATGGTGACCCCTTGAGTGTCAGAGTAGGACTGTGCTCCATAGGGTTTTCAACACCTAACTTCTCAGAAGTAGATCACCAGGCCTTTCTTCAAACAGACCTCTGGTAGACGTGAACCTTCAACCTTTCTGTTAGCAACTGAGCATGTTACCATTTGCACCCCCAGGGACTCCTTACCACACCTAACATCCCCATACAAAGGCCCAAGTAGACAAATCACCCAAGTAACACTTATAACACCCATCCATAGTCAAGTCACATGGTAACAGAAAGCCCCACTTTAACTACCTCTAGTTCTGGTAGCATAGTGTCTAAGGCACTTAACTGCTAACCAGAAGGCTGGCGGTTCAAACCCACCAGCCACTCCTCGGAAGGAAGATGGGGCAATCTACTTCTGTAGTGATACTGCCTCGGAAACCCAAGGAGGGGTCGCTATGAGTCTGGTCTGACTCAATGACACATAGCAATAACAATGGCCTCTAGTTACCCTTCAGGTCTGAAACTGAACTCACTCTCATGGCTTCCAGCCAAACAACAGACAGGTATATAGGATGAACATTTACATCAGGTAGATACACTCCTTAGAACTTGGAAGAACAGAAGGGCAGTGCTTGCACAGGGAGATAGCTCAGGGGGCAGCAATGCATAGGAGAAAAGTACATAGGAAAGAGGTAACTAGGGGAGGAAGTGGGAAGAGGGCTGTAACACTGTGGGGAACTGCAGTCAATGTCACTAAAGAAAATGTATAGGAACTGCTGTATGGAAAATGAATTTGCTTTATAAACTTTCACCCAAATCACATTTAAAAAAAAGAAAAAGAATACCATGGTCCATACCCCCACCTTCAGGAATGCCCTAATCCCACCCCTGCGTATTTTCTATGGAAGAGATCAGGGGTCAGCTCCAATACCAGGAAGGGGCTCTGGGGCCAACTGCTCCACCAGCTCAGGAGGCCCAAACGGGTGCTGCCATGGCTCAGAACCACCGTCTGACACCAAGGAGAGGCCAGGGGCTCCTGGAGGCCCTGGTCTAGTTCTTCATACACTGACAAGGGGTGCTGGGCATCTGTACCAGCTTCTGCCTGGAGGCCCCAACTCAGTGGGTGCTTCTCAGCCTGACTGCCCATCTTCTTCCCCTCACTGCCCTCCATGAGCCACTCTGGCCACAGAGCTGTGACAGACTCTGCAGACACTGGGTACACTCCAGTCTCCCCTCCTTTTCCTTGGGAGAGCCGTCTGGGAAAAGAGCAAGAAAAAGGAGACACAGGAATTCACCCAGTACTAGAACAGTGTAGTAGAAGGAAGGCTGGTTGGGGGTTCCACTTCTGTGCCCTGGGACGGTCACTTTCCTGCCCCTCTGCACCTAGGTGTCACTGACCTGGTGACTCACCAATTCACCCTGAGTCCACTGTCTCCACCTCACTCCCTATGGCCCAGCCACAGAGCCCAGGGCTCTTGTGGGCCCAGCTCCTCCTGACTGCCTTCGCCCCCACCCAAAGGATTTCTCTTGGAATCCATCTTTGTGTCTCCTCTCTGGAGCAATTAATACCATGTGTAATCAAAGAACCATCGGCATGTTTGTCTACCATCTGCCTCTGCCCACCGACTCCAGGAAGGAGGGACCATGTCTGGGTCTTAATCATGACTCTAATCACTACACCCAGCCCAGAGCCTACCACAGAAGGATCCAAACACAATGCCTGGAATAAATAAATGAATAATTCAGAAGGGATGGGGGAAAGGCCCAGGTAAGGCAGGCCTTACCTTGGTCAGTTGCACAGATAACCACTGTAGGGCAGCAAAGGGCAGGTGGCTGCAGCTCCACTCCACCCAGGCCCCTACTTCTGCCACCTGGCCCAGACTCACCTCCCTTACCTCCCCCCTACAGCTCCAGGTTCCCCTGCCCAGGCTGGTGGCAAGGAACGTCCCCTCTGCCACCCAGCCACTCACCCCCGGCTTCCTCTTCTGCCTCTCTGGCCTCACATCGTCCTCAATGATGAGCTCGATGCCAGCCTCTGAGCGCAGCACCTCCTTCAAGTCCTCCTCCAGGTGTGGGGTCTGGGGCTGTGAACAGGCAGGGGTCACCCATGTCAGACACTACCTTCAGGCTGTGTGAGTATGGATGTTGCCTGGGATGGCTGACCTATCCTCACAGGGTCAGAGGGGCAGGCCAGATCACTGTAGCGTGTGCAGGGCAGTGCAGGCAGCAAGCTGACCTCCCATGTTCCTAACCATTAGTCGTCCCACCCTGGGCAAGTAGACAGATGATGACCTCAACTCTTTGAAGGCCTGCTTGCGGTAGGCTGGGAGCACCCCCACACCTCCTCCATTAACCCTCAATAGCCCCATGCCCTATCGTATTCCTCAGTACCAGCAAAGTGAGCCTCAGTTTCCCCATTTATAAAATTAGGATATCTGAGGCTTCTCAGGGTTGTTGGAAGAATCGAAGCAGATCTCAGAGGTGAGGGGCTTTATGAACTGCAAATGGGTGGATGATCCCCAGAGAGCACTCCACAGAGCCCCCCAGCACACCACCTACCAGGGGCTTCAGTGGTCCGTATTTCTCCAAGGCGTTCTTGAACGGGGTCGGCGTGTGGGGAGTGTTGTCCATGGAGTACTTCTGATCTGGGGTTACAAACCTGCCAGGGGCCAGAGAAGGCAGCTCAGAGGTGGGGTGGGGGGCAGACACCAGCCACTCTGCTTTGGGCTGCTCATGACATCCACCTCTCTTCCGCTGGGACACTGGTCTCTGCAGGAGAAAACCCCCAGCACGTGCTCTTTTCCCATTGCTCTACCCACCCCCACCACGCACTCAGTCAGGTCTTTGTCAGAGACATAGAGGAAGGGCCATCCTCAGAAACAAAAAAGAGCAGGGAAGTCACCAACTCTGAAGGCCCAGGACCCAGTAGGGGCACGCCAGGTAAAAGGATGGCTTGCCCCCACTCCTATACTGGGGAATTTCCATAAAAGTCCATTCAGGCACAGGGTGGGGGGACCAGGGGAGCAAGGTGGAGATTCAGGAAGACCACATCCTTCCCCAAGCCTCCCTCCAGCGAGGGCGTCTCATGTGGGGAACAAGTGGCAGCAGTACTGGAAAGGAAAAGGAGCATCAGGGGCAAGACGGTGGGCCCACCATGTGAGTTCAGCTCTCTCTCTCTCCTCCCAAGTCTCTTCAACATCATCACAGTGGGAGACATAACTGTGCAGGAGAAGCTCTGGCAGAGAAAAACTGGGAAGGGTATGGTCTACGAGCAGAAATAGTAAGAAGCTTCTATCAGAGGGTAGGCCCACTGAGGTGTGATTTCTACCAGCAATGGCAAAGCCTGCTGGGGAGGGGACAGAGCAGAAACAGGGCTGCAGTATGGGGCTGGGCTAGCTGGGGGCAAGCTTCAACTCTTTCAGGAAGCACTGAGTGTCTGTTTATGGTGATGGGAAATTTGGCAATAATTATGGGTGATAGCTGCACAACATGATTAATGTAACTGGTATCACTAAATTATACAACTGAAAAATTGGAACTGACCAATATTGTTATATTTATATGCATAAAAATTTTTTAAAAAGGACAAAAAAATATTTTAGCTCTAATGACAGGGACCAGACTCCACAGAGCAAGGTCCCTCCCCATACACCCACCCATGTGGCCTCAGTCAAGTAGCAGTACTACCAAGGCTGGCTCCCAAGACATCCATGGGGCAGTTAGAAGGCATGGGAAAGAAATGCCTGGGTCACTTTAAGAACTGGGGGACAGAGAACAACTCCCAGATACGGTACCTCTGGTCACCGCTTTGGGCCCACTGCCCCTAAACTGCTGGGCATTCTATGGGGAGATAAACACTAGAATAAGTGCAGACCATTCTTTTCTTCCTTCCTCGGGACTAAGAGGTTAAACGGCGATCCACACAATCTCTTTCCAAAGTCTTGTTATCTTCCCACAGGACACAAAGAGGCCATGCTCTATAGGAATGAGTGAAGACAGATAAACACTGGTCAAATTTAAACAGCTCCCAGTTCCAACTGAAGGGACGACTCCGACCGCAGGACCAGACATCTGCATGGGATGCAGTTTCCGTGGGCAACAGGAGAAAGCTCCAGTCTCTGACTCACAGCCTCAGGAAGAACTGGGAGTAGACACATTAGAACCAGAGGCTGGCTGGACAAGAAGCACAGAAGGCTTCCCGGAGACGGAAAAACACAAGTCGTGTAAGCCAAAGACACGGCAGGGGAAACTGCAGAAAACTCAAGCCAGCAAATCGGGAGTCAGTCCCATGATATTCTCACAGAGTACAAAGGAAATGGCTTAAAACACTGACTAGGAACATGGAGATGAAAGACAAACATAGGGACAGAGTCAGCCTGTCCAGGAAGGCATTCCACAGGCAGGAGAAAAGGGAGCAGACACCACGGAAGCAGTAACTACAGAGACAGCAGCTTGAACATTTTCAGTATCAAGGTTTCAGTCTTTAGTCTATAATGAAAACCAGGAAAGGAAATATTTTAATAAAGAGATACCAGCACCTGCATATAGTCTGGCAAATTTAAGAGATAATTTAAAAATAAATTTTAAAAAGCCTACAGGATGCAGGAGGAGAAAAAGATTCTTCACAAAGGAGTAACAGCTGGGCAGGTACCAGACCTCACAACATAAATGCCACAAAAAAATGAAGCAGGGCTCATGGCTGGCAGTCACAGCTTTTCTCCTCAGTTTTATATCCAGCTGAGTTCTTACTCCTGCTGCTGAAAATCAACAAAAAGACAGCCCAGACTCAGAAGGCACAGCCATCACACCCTCCCTGCTTACCCCCTATTCTCTCTGAAATCAACTTTAAGAAACACTTCATTAGACTTCCGGTAAGATGGAGGAATAGGCTGACAAGTGACACAGGCCCTCTCCAACAAAGAGAAACCAATTGACAGAGATACAAAAGATAATCCTGGAGCCTTGAGCTTTGAAAGGAACTATACAGAAGTGGGTTAGGCACCAACCAGTGGAAAAACCTGAATGAAAATAATGAGTACAGAGACAGTCGGAGCTGCGGACTGTCAACTACTCTGACGAGACCAATAGCCTGAATATTTCCAAGTGGTGTTGGGACCTGAGAACTGACCTAAAGATCAGCCCTGGTCACTAGAAATGGAAACAGCAAGGAGGGAGACAACCAGAGCTGTTGACTTTGTGCTGTCCAGAAGGCACAGCTGTTTTGATTGTTTACATGTGGCAGCCATTTTGGATATTTAAAGTGATCAAGGGCACAGCCATTTTAAATGTTTACAAGGTGGCCATTTAGGATATTTAAAGTGACCGAGAGTGCAACTATTTCGGATTTTAAAGTGACAGGATTATCATTCGGATTCCAGGGACCTAAGAATAGGCTCCATTTGCCAAGGACAGCAGGGACATACAGGAGGCTGACAACGAGAAAGGAGACAGGTGGTGAGTGTGTAAGTGCTGTCAACTATTGACTAGAGGAGCACAGTACCCCACTTGCGTAGATAACATACAAACAAAACAGAAAATGAAAATCGTGGGTAAGTCACTCCAACATACAATCACCAATTAAATATAAACACAAAAAAAGTCACAATGCCTTGGAGACAACAGAGCATTACAGTCCACACAAAGAAGCAAGATACAGCAGGAGAAACAAGGGACCACCAGGATACAGACCCAAAATACACCCCTGAGGAAGACGCAGCATTGGAACTCCCTGATAAGGAATTCAAAAGAATTATATTTAGGTACCTTCAATGAATTGAGAAACAGATCAAGGAAAACACAGAGAATGCCCTGGAACAATTTCGAAAGACAATACAAGAACAAAATGACAAAATAAATGAAAAATCAGAAATGATACAAAACCTACACACAGAAATCCAGAAGATTAATACTAAAATTTCAGAGACAGATAACACAGTGAGTGGGCAAAGGAGTAGAAATGAATAAATGCAAGACAGAATTAGTAAGATTGAAGGCAAATACCTGAATACTTCTTTGGAAAGGGATCAATGAGGAAAAAGATGAAAACAAAATGAAAAAAAGCCTAAGATTTATGTGAGATACCATCAAAAGGAATAACCTACGTGTAATCGGAATTCCAGAACAGGAAGAGACAAATAAAACCACAGAGAAAATTGTCAAAGATTTCTTGGAAGAGAATTTTCCTGGTATGGTGAGAGATGAGAATATATCCATTCAGGAAGTCCAACAAACCCCTAACAGGATAATCACCCAAAAGAAAATCACCCAGACACATCATCATGAGACTTACCAAAACCAAAGACAAAGAAAGAATCATGAGAGCAGCATGGGAAAAAATAAAGTTACCTACAAGGGGCAACCAATAAGACTAAAGCTCAGATTTCTCAACAGAAACCATGTAGGCAAGAAGACGATGGGATGGTATATATAAAACCTTGAAAGAGAAAAATTTCCAACCAAGAATTATGTACCCAGCAAAACTATCCCTCAAATATGATGGTAAAATTAGGACATTTCCAGATAAGCAGAAATTAAGGGAATTTGTTAAAACCAGACCAACCTTACAAGAGATCCTAAAGGGAACTCTTTGGACAGAGAAGCAACAACAGCCAACAATTGACCATTAACACACATGATGATATAACCCACAAACTAACCCAGCTATGGAAGTATCTAAAGTAAATAAAACTACAAGATTATAAACAGGGAACCAGAGACATCAATTGACAAATGAGGACAACTACAAACCAAAAAAGGGAAAAAACTGTGTTTTTACAGAACTTCTAGATGGTAGGGAAGTCAAGACAACTACAAGATAGAACAGACTGTTCTAAACTTGGGAAGAAAACTATAAATCACAGGGTAAACTCAAAGAAAAATGATAAACCTTCACATCAAAATAAAAAAGAGGACCAGCACAAATATTTAGCAAACACTAAAACAATAGCAACGAAGCAAATAACAACATGATTCATAAACAAAATGAGCTCAGCATAGAAAATTATATGGAACAAAGAAATCGACATCACGATAAAGCACGTAACAAAAATGACAGCAACAAATTCATATTTGCCCATAATTACAAGTCTGGCAAGGGACTGATCTCTAAAATTTATAGAAAACTCCAATGCCTCAACACCAGAGGAATTAACAATCCAATTGAAAAATGGGCAGAAGACACGAATAGACACTTCACCAAGGAGGATATTCAGGTGGCCAGCTAATACATGCAGAGATGCTCACAATCACTGGCCATCAGAGACGCAAATTAAAACAACAATGAGATGTCATCTCACCCCAGCACTGATGGCAAGGTTCAACGAGACAGAAAATAACAAATGCTGGCAGGGATGTGGAGAGATTAAGACTCTCATATACTGCTGGTGGGAGCTCTGGTAGCATAGTGGCTAAGGCACTTGACTGCTCACCAGAAGGCTGGCGGTTCAAACCCATCAGCCACTCCTTGGAAGGAAGGTTGGGCAATCCTACTTCCGTAGTGATACTGCCTCGGAAACCCAAGGAGGGGTCGCTATGAGTCAGGGCTGACTCGACGGCACATAACAACAACAACAACATACTGCTGGTGGGACTGTGAAGTGATACAACCATGTGGAAAGCAGTATGGCGATTCCTTAGAAAGCTGGAATTGGAGACACCATTTGACCCAGCAATCCCATTACTAGGTATATATCCTAGAGAGGTGAGAGCCAGGACAGGAACAGATATATGCACACCCATGTTCACTGCAGCACTGTTTGCAGTGGCAAGAGGATGGAGGCAACCTACGTGCCCATCAACAGAGGAGTGGATGACCAAGCTGTGGTGCATGCACACGATGCAGCGCTATGCAGCCCTGAGGAGTGATGTGGAGTCTGCATAGCGCCGCACGGCACAGATGGACTTGGAGGGCATTGTCCGAGTGAAATAAGTCAGTCACAGAAGGACAAATATAGTATTAGTTCCTTGTTGTTGAGGGTCAAGGAAAGGTTTATATATGGAGGGAAACTTTCTTTGTTGGTTGCCAGGGGTGAGAGGGAAGGGGAGGGAACACTGTGAAAAAAAAAAAGAAAGAAAGAAATGCATTTACCCATGTCACTTTAGTTTTGTGTATTTCACTGTACACAAATTATATTTCAGTAAAATACATTAAAAAAGAGAAAGGAAGAAACACTTCATCTAACCAAGAAAATAATCAAATTCTAAAATGGGAAAGGTTTGCCCTTATTTTATGAACCACTAAAATCGTAGGGTTGTTTCTCCAGCTCCAGCGGGCCCATCCTGACTAATACACAGGCCCCAGTGACCTTTTATGGAACTGTTTTCTACCGTTTTCTCTGTACCTAACTGACACCAAACTTAAGAGGCCTTATTTCTGTTATTTAAACACAAAATAGGTGTTTCTACCTCGGGGCCTTTGCAGCTGATTCTGCCTGAAATCTCTCTCCTCAGACATCTCCATGGCTCTCTCGCACAGTCTCCCTGAGAGGCCACCCGTGACTGCTCATCTAAGACGGACACCCCTCCCTGTTACTCTGTGTTCCCGCGGCCTGCACAGCTGTACACCATGGTATCTATCGCCATCTGAAATACCACATACTTACTAATCTGGCTTTTGTTTTGTTTATTAATGAATTTTCCCTTCCAATAAACCAGAACTTCAATAAGGAAAAAAAAAAGGGGGGGATGGGTGGGATATAAAAATCAGTGGGCAACAAAAACCAGTAAAATTTAGAATTAAGACCAAATAATTATTGCCTATGAAGGCTTGCAAGTGTCAAAAAGAACTTTTGGCAGAGAGAATAGGAAGACCAGAATCTCTTATGACAGTACCAACCCCATTTATTGTCAAGTCAATTCCAAGTCATAGCAACCCTACAGGACAGAGTAGAACTAGCCCCATAGGGTCTCCAAGGCTGTAACCTTTACAGCAGCAGCCTGCCCGTGGAGCTGGTGGTGGCTGAGTACTTAACCACTATGCCACCAGGGCTCCCTCTCTTGTGACAATAATGTGGATGTAAAGAGAAGGCACCTGACTTCTACTTCTTATTAAAATGAAATAACAGGGACTAGATACACCCTGTCTCCTGAAACAACCAAGAAAAAAAGACACAATACAGGAAACTATGATTTGCAAGATGCTAGACAGAAGGCAATGAAGAACAGAGATCCTTGAGAGCTGGGAAACAAGCGTGGTGAAGCTTGGCTGCCAGTCACTGTACCGAGATCGATTCCAGGCCACCATGCAGGGACAGGAAACCCAGGTGGAGTCTGGCCGACTCCTGAGTTGAAGAGATGAAATTATGCAGTATATAGCCCTTTGAAAGGGGCCCTGGTGATGCAGTGGTTAAAGCATTTGGCTGCTAACCAAAAGGTGAATGATTCAAACCCACCAGCTATTCCATAAGAGAAAGATGAGGCAGTCTGCTTCTGTAAAGATTTACAGCCTTGGAAAACTTATGGGGCAGTTCTACTCTGTCCTATAGGGTTGCTATGAGTAACAATCAACTCAATCAACAGTGCATTTTGTTTTACAGCCCTTTGAGTTTGTCTTTTCTAACTTAATATATATTTGGGATTCATCCATGTTGTTCCAAGTATCAGCAGTTTGTTTTTTATACTGCTGAATAGTATTTCATTATATGGAATATAAATATAGTTTATTTACCCACTCACTAGTTGAGGATCTTTGGTTATTTCCAATTTTTGGCCATTATGAATAAATATACTATTAACATTTCTTAAAAAAAGAGAGAGAGGGATGAAGCTGAGAGTCCATAGAGACCAAGGCAGTTAAAGTTCACAAGACAGAGTTCCAAAGAGGAGAGAGCTACACAGGAGAGAGCCCCAGAGATCTGCAGAGGGTCTGCAGAGCACTGATCAGTGCCCACAAGTGAGGAAACAGCTCACGACCAGGGAAGAACCATCTCAAAAATTACAGGGAACAGGCTGGTGCTCACACAGGGCTGGGGCGACTGCTTGTCCCTCCAGCCAGAGAGGAAAACTGTACCATACACAAGATACCAGATCAAGTACTGAAGGATCCTGAGTTCGTCGCTGCTCTAGTCCCACCTAATAAATCTCAACAGCATGACCCAAAAAGATCAAATTGTTTCTAAGTTTCACTTAAGTACATCCCAGAAGAAAGCTCTAGAAAGAAAATCTAGAGGAATAGAAAAATATCTAGTACCTATAAGGTAAAATTCACAATGTCTGGCATCCAATGAAGTATTAATCAATGAGGCAAAGAAGCAGAAAAATAACAAATCAAATAAGACTCACAATGAAAAGTCCATCAACCCAAAACTCACCCAAACTGAAACAGATATTTAAATTAGCAGACAAGGACATTAAAAACAGTTACACAACATTCCATATGCTCCAAAAGTAGAGACATGGAAGATATTTTAAAAGATTCAAATTGAAGTCTAGAGATGAAAATTACAACACTTGAGATGAAAAATGCACTGAATGAATGAGTGGGATTACCAGCAGGTTAGACAAAGGAGAAGAAAAGGTTAGTGCAACTGAAGCTACAGCAATAGAAACTGGATAGAAAAAAAATAAAAAGAGCATCAGTTAGCTGCTGGACAACTTCGAGTGGTCTAATATACTTGTTACTGGAGTCCCGTTGTCAGCCTAGAATTCTACACACAGCAAAAGTATCTTTCCAAAATTATTACAACTTTTCAGATACACAAAAGCTGAAAGAATTCATCACTAGCAGGCCCAAACTACCAAAAAAAAAAAAAAAGTTAAAGGATGGACTTCAGACAGAAAAAGACTATTACTACATGGACTATGGATCTATGCAGGGGAATGAAGACCACGGGAAAAGTGTCTGCATGTAGAAGGCAGGGGAGGAGTTGGAGCTGCAGGTCAGGAACATGGGTGAGACGAAAGAGCAGGGAAGCATCAGCGCCTCCTGTGGCTCCTTCTGTGTAAGGGTTTCAAGTTCAGAACTTTGGCTTGAATGGAGAATCATTTCTTATGAAACTCATCTATGTTATATTCTGGGAACTGTTTAGAGACTGATTTCCAATCAAGGGATTCATGAATTCTTTCAGAAATTATGTATCATGAGGGCTAAAATTCCTAAGTCCCATCAGACTGGTCAATTGCATAACTTATCCACTGAATAATAAATAGCAAATTTCTCCTGCAGTAAATGTAATAAACAGAGCAGTTAAGCAACTCTCTGCATGGACTTCAGAGTCATGAAGACATGAGGAGGTGAAACTTAGTTAAAACACTTCCATAAAAGCATGCTTGTCAGCCATGGACAGCCTTCTGAACAGGATGTGCTGTGCCCGAAGGAGCTGGGAAGGCAGGGGCACAGGCCAGTTCTCCTACGGCTGCCGCTGGGCAGAACCATGGCCTCTGGAGCACCAGACCGACCTCTCTGTCCAGAGAGACTAAGAGACTAAGGGCACTTTTTTCCTTAATGCAAAGCTACTCAAACAATGGATTTGCAACTTCAAACTTATGAAAAACGGAGAGACGAAGTTTTTCATATAGCAATTTTGTCTTTCTTCATTGACATTAAAAATTAAAATGAGAAAAAAAGAAAACAAAGGTAAAATATCAGACTGTACTGACAAAATTGAAGAGGTATAGTGGCCAGTGGGGAGGAAGCCCAACACAGTCTTAGGTCTTTCCCAAGGGTGTCTCCCACCTGCTGTCCCACCAGTGATCCTGGCACTCAGGGCTTCTGGGGACAGTGGGATGGGTCAAACGCTCCTGTGTCAGTGGTGGGGTGGGTGGGCATGGGTGGGCGCACACTCACACAGCATGTTTCTGGTGAAGGGGAGTCTTGTCCCGGTGCAGTGGCGTGGTGACTACCACCTTCTGGCTGCACACAGGGGTGGATGTCAATGAGGGGCTCTCCAGCTCCAGTGTGTCCTGTTTGGTCCAAAAGTTCAGAAACTGCCAGGCAAGGAAAATAAGACAAAGCAATGACATGCAGGCGGATCGAGGCCTCTGGTGGAGGGTGGGAGATGCTTGAGCCCCTCCCTTCAACATCCTTGCTTCGACACCAAGATCCTTTTCTGATCTAAGAGGATCCCACCTGTCAGTCACAAGGGAACAAAGAAGGCGCAGACAGATGGGACAGGTGCTCACCGAGTAGGCTCATGCAGACCCCTGGGTTTATCGTTGTCTCCCTAATCCTAGCTGAGGCCAGGCTGGCTGGAAGTCATCTCTCACCCTCCTGTGCTGCTGACAGTGTGGAGTTAAGGCAAAGAGAGTGACTGCCTTTTCAGAATAAAGCTAGCTCTTAACTGACCGATGCCCTGGGGATGGCATTTTGGTGTTGGTGATGCAATTTAACATTCAGAGCCCCTTGTACTCGATTCGGCAGCACATATACTAACACTCATAGAGCCCCTCTCATGTCAGGCATTGCGATGAGCACTTACACAAATAATTCCAGCTGGTTCTCACAAACACTTGTGAGACACAGGTACTGTTACTACAGATAAGGAAATGGAGGCTTAGGAAGGGTTAGATTCCTGCAGAGCCCTAGAAATGGGACTCAAACCCCACTGACACCAAAGCCCGTACCTCGCAGCACTGCTCCTCTGCTCCCTCCTACACAGGGAAGCCCTGCGGGTGCTGGTGTCTGAAAAGCCACCTCTGTGGCTTTCTACCACCTTGCATATACTGTCACTGAAAATACAAGTAGATACTGGGTATCTGCTGTGTGTCAGGCTCTGGCCTAAATGCTGGGGACATCACTACTACCAGTTGTCACTGAGTCATTTCTGACTCATGGCAACCCCACATAGTTTAAGACTAGAACTGTGCTCCATAGGGTTGTTCGCTTAAACTAATATTTACTGTATTTTTGGTGGAAGTATAAACAAAACAGGTTCCCGTTCAACAGTTTGCCCAGTGTTCAGTGACACTGGTTACATTCTTCAGTTTGTGTTAGCATTCTCATTACTTCACTCTAATTGTTCACTCCCATTGGTTAAGTCTCACTGCCCCCACTCGTACATTCTCATCTGTGCTTTAGAGTAACTGTTGTCCACTCAGTCTCATAAGGTTAATTTTTAAAAATCCATAAGGATTTACTGGCTGATTTTCAGAAGTAGATCATCAGGCTTTTCTACTCAGCGGCCAGGGGTGGGGCCACACACCTGAGAGGGTGAGAAGGGCAGGGTCTTAACGGGTGTGCTCTTGGGGGTGAGGCTGTTGCAGGAGTCCAGGAAGGACAGACTGGCACTATTCTCCGTGACTGGAGACAGAGCAACACGCCTCTTCTTCTGCCGCTTGAGCACTGAGGGTGGTGTGCCAATGCCTGAGCCCCCAACGTCAGTGCTTGGGGAGATGGGGATCAGCTCGCCCCGGCTGCTCCGGCTCAGGTCCGAGATGGTGTGGCCATCCAGGCGGTACTCGGTCACACTAGACACTGGGACGGCACGCTGGCTGGGCACCTGGGCCTGCTGCTGAGCCGGAGGCTGCAATGGGCTAGTGCTGATACTGCCTTCTGCAGATGGCTCCTCAGGGAGGTCAAATTTACTCAGGTCACACCAAGCATCGGGATCCTGCCCAGAGAGGGAGGAATGACAGCAATTAGAAGATGAACCATTCACTAAAGGAAAATACACACGTCTGAAGCATAATTCCCCAAGCTCAGAAATAACCATCATTAAGGTTTCGCTGCATTTCCTCTTGGATGCTTCTATAACTGTCTATCTAGACTTTTAAACATATCTGAAGTGATCGTGTGCATATGGCAGCTTGCTCTGTTATTTTAAAAAATGTTTCATGCAATATTTAAGATACACAAAAAGCATAAAACAGTATCATGAAAACTCAGATAACCATCAATGAGCTTAAGTATGCCCACTATCCTGAGCACACTCTCTGCCCATGGGTAGAACAGCACTACCTGGGTTTAGTATTACCACCCCCAAGTATTTCTTTATCATTTTTCCACTGATATGTGTCCCTAAACGATATTTTAAAAACAAAAGGCCGGGTGATGCAATGGTTAACTGTTTTGCTGCCCCCCAAATCGTTGACAGTTCAAACCCACCCAGCAGCTCCACGGGGAGAAAAGACCTGGCAATCTGCTCCTGTGAAGACTACAGTCAAGGAAACCACAGTTCTGCTGTCACAGAGTCACTGTAGGTCAATGACCAACTTGACAGCCAACAGCAACAAATGATGTATAGTATTTTGCACGTTTCAATCTTTACATAAATCAATTCTATATTCCTGCTTTCTCCTCATTTAAAACTCATATAAAACAGGAATATTAGTGGTACTTGTTTCTGAGAGTTAAATATTATTATTGACAAACGTTAATTTGTTACTAAAAACCTTTCAACTTTAATAAAACATCATTTCTATGGCTGTAAAATATTCTATCATATGACTCTATCAGCTACTTAACTTTTTATTTCCCTTCTGTTAGATAGCCTCAAGTTTTCAAAATTAAAAATCTTTATGAACATCTTGGATTAGAAATCTTCTTTTCTTTCATTTTCAATTAGTTGCTCAATATGGATTATTAGAGGTGGCAGGAGTGGGCCCAAGGCTGTGACGTGTTTAAGGCTGTGATTCTGACAGCTGTATTCTTAAGACAGGTGGCACCAGCCGCATTCTACATGCGAGCAGGGCCTGCTCGGGCCAGGCCCACCAGACACTTTAATATGATGTTTCCAATCCCCACAAGCCCATCACTAGGGAAGTATGACTTTTCCCATTTCACACCGAGGACCTGAGCCTGGGAGGGGTGACCTGCCCAAGGTCACTGAGCGGCCCGAGTCATCCCCAGGTCTTTCCACCTTTATCCAGCAAATCACAACCCAGGACATAACATTCTTAGAATGAAAGGTGCTGCTTCAGTCCTTGGCAGCCTGGTCCTGAACACGTTCACACCCCAGCAGTGACTGCTGGTCCTTGGGATGAGCATGAGCCTGGGACCATTCCCTCCTAAGGATGGAGGCCAGCTTGGGGGCGGTGCTGATCTCTTCAGCACCAGGGCCCACCAAACCAGAAATATCCCCTACCAGGACGTCTTGAGCAGAGCCTACAAGGCAAGGACAGACAGCAGATCTGCAAATGGTATAATTCTCCCCAGAGTCACTGAAGGTAATCAAAGAACTGAACTTAGAGCCAGATGTATCTGAGTCTGACTTCTGCCCCTAGCACTTAGCAGCTATGTGACTTTCAACGGGTCTTCTAACCTCTCTCAGCCTGGGATTCCCTCACTGGTGATGATCCCATTAGCCACTTCACAGGGCTGTTAAGAGGCTAATTAAGAACACAGTAATAGGCCTGGCACATAGTAGGCACTCAAATATCAGTGCAATTAGGCATTAAGCATTAGGCCTGCCATACAACGGGTGGTCAGTACAAGTGAGCTCTCCCCTTTCTCCTTCTCTATCCCTGTCAAGTGGGGGGAAATATAGAACAGTAGAAGGATAGAGTGATGTTAACACTACGAAACCAACACTGCCAGGTATGGAGTGGGCCACACTTACCTGGACACTCCCCTTAGAGCCCACAGCAAGGACAGCACAAAAGCGGCCTTGGAGCTATATGCTGAATAGATAGATGAAGATGTCACACCCACTTCTCAAGGCACTCAGAAATTTCTCAGAGGTAGAGGGGGCAATACAGACAGACCTTGCAGCTGGATCTAGTTCCAGCTAATGGGGGCAAGAGGTCAGAGCCAAAGTCCTAGAAGGTCTGGGCACATGGCCTCCCTAGAGATCACATCACCCAACCCCTCGCTGGGCAGCAGCACAGCACAACAGTCAAGACCACTGGCCTGCTCGCTGTGTGACTCTGGGTACACTACCTCACCTCTCTGAGTCTCAGACTCATCCACAAAGCTCTGACGAAGCACATAGCTCACAGGGCTGCTGAGGCTGGATGTGGAGCTCAGGGCCCGGCATCCAGCAGATGCTCAATAGATAGCATCATTTTTCTTAGCAGGAGAGGGAAGGGTGAGAGGAAGGCAAATGTGGGGGCCTCCCAGTGAACCCCACTGGCCCTGGTCACCTGCCTCTTGCCCATCACCCCCTGAAGCCCACTCCATGCCACAGTCCTGGCTGATGTGGCTATAGCAGAGAACATCATGCCAGGTGCAGACCCCTCGAGGGGCTCTCTCCAGAGGGACACAACGCACAGCCAGTGTGGTCACCACAGCATGACCGGGCATGGAGCTGGCTGCAGCCTCCAGTCTCCAGAACAAGTCCCAGCCCCAGCCCCAAACCCCAGCACTCCCTGGGCCCCTCTCCAGGGCAACGTAACCATCTGTGGTACCACCAACACCACTCTCTCACACTGTGTCCACTGTCTCAACACCCCTGCCCTCAAGTCATCCCTGAGGACTCAATGTGGTGCCACCTCCTCCAGGAAGGCTTCCCATCCACCCTGTACTGCACAGCATGAGTTGATGCCTCTCTGCACACCTCTGCCACCCATAGTGGGAGTTCCCAGAGGGCAGGGGCTGCAGGGTAACCCTCAGTGTCCCCACCCTGTGCTCAGGGCCAGGTACGCAGCTTCCACTCAGTAAATGGTGACAGGATGGTGGCATGAATGGAAGGACACATGCCTATGAGGGAAGCACTCCAACTGTGAAGTTCTGTGACCAACATTACCGACTCAATTAAGTCCAGGGCTTCAGAGAGGCTCGACGACCCCACAGCTGGGCTGAGGAGGTTGGCAGCCTCTACCACCCACTTGTAGGGCAGGCTCATTTCAGGCGGGGAGCCCTCCTGGTCCTCATGCTTGGGGAACTCGTCCATGGGCTCTGGCGTCCGCACTCCCTCCAGCTCCGCGGGGACAGCCTCCTGCTCCCGAGATGTAGTGGCTGCCATAGCCTCCTCCTCACTGCTTTCCTCTTCCTTTATGACAGGGGGTCCCAAGGGCCAGCTGGTCACAAGACTTCCCTGTCGAGCACAAGGGCACACAGTTTAGAATTCTGCTGAGATATCAGGGCTTCAAACTGGTTCATTCTGGTTTGACCCCCTGCTGAGAACTTACCTTTCCACCCTAGATAGACTAAATCAAAATCTACATTTTAATATAAGAATCACCTGGGGATCTTGTTAAAATACACATTCTGATTCCAAATATCTGGGGTGGAAAGGCAAATTTTGAGCAAAGAGTCAAACCAGAAAGAACCGAGTCAAACCAGAAAGAACCAAGTCAAAGCCCTGTGAGATACTTAACAAGAAGAAGTCTCAGGGTGGTACAGATGGTTAAGGCGTTTGGCTGCCAACCTAACGGGCGGAAGCAGAGGTACCTTGGAAGGAACGTCTGGCAATCTACTTCTGAAAAATCAGCCATTGCAAGCAGCCATCTAGATGCAACAATGGGTCTCTCCTCATCCAGAGCAAAGAAGAATTAAGAAAAGCAAAGATACATGGAACCAATTAGTCCAAAGGACTGGTACAGCATGCAATCCTCAGTCTATATTATGAGACCAGAAGAATTAGATGGTGTCCGGCTACCACGGTCAAGCACATGGAAGGGGATCTGTGCAGGAGATACTGGACACAGTGGGAGAACAATGTGGAACAAAATTCAAAATCATTTAGAAGAAAAAAAAAAAAAAGACCAGGTGTCTTGGTCTGATAATCCTGGTGAGACCCCCGAGACTATGGTCCCAGCCACCCTTCAGGTCTGGAATTGAACTCACTCCTGTGGCTTCCAACCAAACAGACAGACAGACATATGGGCTGAACATTTACATGAGGTAGACACACTCCTTAGAGCAATCAATCACAGGAGAACAGAAGGGCAGTGCTTACACAGGGAGACAGTTCAAGGGGCGGGAACGCATGGGAGGGAAGGACAGAGGGAAGAGGTAACTATAGGGAGGAAGTGGGAAGCTGTTACACTGTGGGGAATTGCAGTCAATGTCATGAGACAAAATGTGTATGAATTGCTGTATGGAAAATCAATTTGCTCTGTAAACTTTCACCCAAATCACAATTAAAAAAAAAAAAAAAACCAGCATTGCAAACCCTACGGGGCACGGTTCTGCCCTGACACACATGAGAGCTCCATGAGTTAGAGGTGATTTACTGGTTTATTCTGGCTAACACATATAACCTAAATCTAACAATAAGGAAACTCAAGCCCAAATTGAGAGACATTCTATGATACAACTGGCCTGAATGCTTGAAGAATATTAATATCATTAAAGAGTCAGAAAGACTGATGAACTAGTCTAGACACAAGTGGTCTAAAGAGAGAAAATAATGAAACACAATGTCTCAGCCTGAACTGGATCCTGGACAGGATACACTGGACTATGGACTGTAAGTTACAGTCCTACATTTATGTTGAATGCCCTGAATTTTATGTAACAGCACTGTAGTTAAGTAAGTGGATGACCTTATTCTTAAAAAAAGCAAACTGAAGTATTAAGGGGTAAAGAGGCACAGTGTTAGCAACCTACTCTCAAGTGCCTTCAGATTAAAAAAGCAACATGCACACACGGAGAAAAAGATAAAGCAAATCTGGCAAAATGTTAAAAATGGATAAATCTGGTAAAGGGCAAACAAACGGGAGTTCTTTGTACTATTCTTGCAACTTTTCTGTATGTTCAAAATTATTTCAAAATGAAAGTTTGAAAAACAAGTGTATATTAACTCTGCAACAGAAAATAACAGAAGGAAATCCTCTGCAGCAACAGCTCTCCTGGCAGAAAATGGGAAACAAGCTTTTGGCACATCTGCTTGGTGAGCACAAACAGCCTGGGAACGGCACACTACCTGGCTCAGCCGCACCAAGAGTGTGGAGAGGGAGCCTGGGGTGGGGGCAGAGCAGAGCCAGGGTGTGAGCACAGGCTCTGGGCTCAGGCCGGGCTCTGTGCTCAGGCCGGGCTCTGCCATTTCCTAGTGCGTGAGCTGAGCAAGCCGTGTAGCCTCTAAGTTTCGGCACCCTTGCCTATAAAAGGAGGACATTAAGGCTTACCGAAGGAGCCCTGGTGGCACAATGGTGAAGTGCTTGGCTGCTAACTGAAAGGGTAGTGGTTCGAACCCACTAGCTGCTCTGGAGGAGAGAAGACCTGGCAATCTGACCCTATGGGACAGTTCTACTCTGTCACATATGGAGTCATGAGTTAGAATCAACTCAACAGCACATAACAACAAAGCTTACAGTGCAGGGATGTTACACAGATCAGCAATGATATGCAAAGTAGCCAAGCTAAGAGGGAGCTCTTACTCTTACTGTTGCCAGGTGAACAGAACAAGATGGTTTGTAACAGAAGCAAAGGAAAGAAAGGAGAAAAGATTAACATACTTGATCATTTAAAAGCTATTACTGCTATAACTGGAGTAGATGGATGCCATCTCCACTATTTAAAAACTACCAACATGGGAGTATAAAATGGGACAGCCACTTTGGAAAATAATTAGGCAGTTTCTTATGGTGTATTCAGACATACGGTTATTGTATGACCCAGCCATCTCACTCCTAGACCTAAAAGAAATGAAAACTTTGTTCATGAAAAAATCTTAAGTTTATAGCAGCTTTATTTGTGATCACCAGCTGAAAACAACCTAATGTCCCTCAACTGATGAATAGACAAAATGTTGCATAGCTATATAATGGACAACGAGGGGTTCTGGTGGTGTAGCGCCTAAGGCATTTGACTGCTATCCAGAAGGCTGGCTGTTCAAACCCACCGCCACTCCTCAGAAGGAAGATTGGGCAAACTACTTCTGTAGAGATACCACTTCGGAAACCCGAGGAGGGGTTGCTATGAGTCAGAATGGACTACTACTCAGCAAAAAATAGAACAAACTACTAATATACCCAATAGCATGCATGAATTGCAAATGCATTATACTAAGTGAAAGAAAACACACAAAAAAGGACATTCTGTGTGATTCCATTTATATAACTTTCTTGTAAAGAAAAAAACTATACAACGATAGATAACAAGTGGTTGCCAGGGGCTAGGGGTAGAGGAAAGGTTGGTTACAAGTGGGCACAGGGGAGTCTGGAGGACAATAAAATGTTCTGTATCATGACTGTGGTGATACTCACAGAACCATCCACTAAAAAGAGTGTATTTTATTGTATGTAAATTACACCTTTTTAAAGGAAGGAGAGAAGCTACCAATAAACTAAGAAAAAAATAGTTACTACATGATAAAATGGTCACATCCTTAACAATAAATACAAGGTTACAACTCACTAAGGAAAAGGACAAACCAAAAAAAAAGGCAAAGCAAACTGATGTTGTGGATGCAATTTCCAATTAGCAGCACTGATGGGAACAGTGACAGACATTCACCAAGAGAAGAGTGACTTCATTAAAGGTTTACGAATGGTGCAGAGGTCTGCATACACTTGACAACATGCAAAAACAGAGTAAATGGGAAAAGAAAGCTGCAAGACAGCAACATATAACATCACATCATATTTAAAGTCATTACCCTTAGTAATAAATGTTGGCAAATACATTAAACAATGCTTCTCACTAAGAGCTGAGGTTAGAGGGCTCAGCCTTCTATATTACTCCACTCAGTAAAGGTTGTTAAAATTTGTGATCACTTACTACTTTTGAAGAACAGAAAAGAAGTATTTCTAACAGCAAGTATTGACCAGTGAGTGGGGAAAACAGGGACGGTCCTCATGCCCACATTAATTAACAGGCATAATTTTTCCAACAGACAATCTGGAAAAATGCATTAAGAGTTTTTTTAAAAGTGTGCCTAGTCACCTCTAGAAATTTCTCAGTAAATAAGAGATCAAGTGAGCAATGATGTAGCTAGCTGCAAGAATAATCATGAAAACTGTTTCTGATAACATGAAAACTGTCAACAACCTGATGTTATTAATAAGGAAGTAAATAAATAAATGAACATCACAAAAGAACCATCAAATGATGCTGGAGAGGAACAGGAAAGGCTCAAACCAACACGGTGAACTGACCTCCTTGCTCAGGGTCAAGGTCTGGGGCTTGTCTAGTCCAGCACAGCCAACACAAACAGGATCAGAGGGATGAAAGTAAACTCAGTAAACTGAGTTGAATTTCAGCAAAGTGGGATTTCCAGAAGGTCTCTCCAGTGAGGTCTATCCTGAAAGACTTCATGCCACATTTGCTAATGCCCTCCATCTCCATCTTTGCAGAATGGATCCCTTTTACTTAATTAGACTTTGAAGGCTTGGAACTAATTATTTAGATCTTCAAGAAACTATTAGGAATAGGTTTCTCTGGTTAGGGGACCCACGGGGAATGAGGAAATGGAGAAAGAAACAGTTTGACTTTTCACCTTGTACCTTTCTCTACTATTTGAATTTACCACCCCATAAATGTATTCATATCCAAGAATAAAGAGATATTCTCTAAAGGTAAAAAAAAATTAAAAATGGAGGCAAAAACATCATATAATGTTCCAGTAGGGCATTGTGGGAGAACTGGAGCTTTGAAAAAGTGATTATCTAGCAAGTAAGAAGGAAGGGTGAATGTTAAACAAATTAAGAACACAATTTCAATTTCTCATAGCCTCCAGACTTTCTGGAGCCATGGAAACTGGACAAACCCCTGTAACTAATGCCTTGAGATAATCTTTAAACCATAAACAAAAAATATTCCCAGAAGTCTTCTTAAAACCAAACAACAGATTAGCTGAACTAGTAAAGGATGTCTGCCTTGAGCATATGGTCTTTCAAAATCTACCTATATGGGACCAAATTGACAGCGAGTACTTGAAAGTTTAGATGGGAAACTTACGGGGCAGTGAGTTTACATTAAAGGGAGAAGCACAACTCAACCAGAGAGGGGAGAACGGCTGCACAAGTCAGAGAGTGCCATCTGTGTCGCTGAGTGGTACGTGTAGAAACTGCCAAATTGGTACGTTTTGTATACTTTCAACAGCAACAAAATAAAAAAAAATGTTTAAATTACTAAGTATTTCATGATTGCAGCAAAGACTGGGAAATAGTGTAGAGGACAACTGTGCTACCTACCACACTCCCTGTGCTGTCAAACCTTAATAATACTTTATCCCATTTGTTTCAAATCTTTTTTGAGGAATAAATCATTAGTAATAATAGCTAAAAATTATAAATTAAAAAGTTTGCTCTGGGGATGGGACAGAAAATACTGACATGCACATGTACTGGTTTCATTTTAAAACTTGCAAATGTAATACTATTTGATTCCTGTTTTGGCTACCTAGTGCTACTGACAAGAATATACCACAAAAGGGATGGCTGAACAGACAAGAGTTTATTCTCTTACAGTTTGGAGGCTTTAAGTCCGAGTTCAAAGTGCCAGGTTCTAGGAGCTAGGCAAAATCCCCTCAATCTTTAACTTCAGCTCTGCCTCCTGCTCCCAGCCCACTGAAGCTGGAGGCTTTTCTTCATTCAGCTGCTGGCTGCTGAGGCTGCCAAGCCCAAGGTTGACAAGTAAAAGGGCACAGTCCTGATGTTACCAAACCACACGGCAGGCCATTAATTCAAGTCCATTGAAAAGTCCCAAGGTTGGCAGAGCATGGCAGGCTGCTGAACGATGACACAGCTACATGCAGGGTTCAAGGGTGCCCTAAACTAGAGACCATTCCCAAAGCTGCTTCTTATATATGGGAAGCAGACCACATCTCTAAAGCAACTACTCAGCTGCTTGTGGAAGGTCCCATTATGGAGATGATTGCCAGTCTCATCATGGGGAATAACTACCACCAGCTGCCCAGCCACTCAACCAGGCCCAGCCAAGTTGACACATAAATTTAACCACCATAATTTC